GTGATTACAGCTAATAATTCTGTATTATATACTTAAAAGCTGCCGTGTGATCAGATTTTACATGGTCTCACCCCTAAAAATTTGTAATTATGTGATGTGGTGGAGATGGCATCTGATGTTAAAGTGGTAATCATACTGCAATAGATAAATGTATCAAATTGACACATTGTACACCTTACACATACACAATGTTATATGTCTGTTATATTTCAATAAGACTAGGGGAAAAACCCCCCACAATGTGTAACTACCACACACCTACCAGAATAGCTAAAATTCAAGACTGTCAGTATCTGGTGTTGGAGAGGAAACGGAGCAACAGGAACTTCCCAGTGTTGTTGGTGGGGGTGTAAACCAGTATTACTGCTTTGGAAAACTGGAATTATCTACTAAAACTGCACAGCAGTTTCACTCCTGGGTATTTGTCCCACAAAAATGTATGCATACAAACACCAAAAGATATGCACAAGAACAATTTTTAAAATCTTAAATATCCATCAACACAGGAATGGATAAACGAAACACCCATTCCTTCTGGTATATACCTGGTATATACTCATAAGGAAATACTATACAGCAATGAAAATGAGAGAACCAGAATTACACGAAATAATATGGAAGCTCTTGTGAACATAATGTTGAAAGATGTTAGCCACTATGCATGAAAATAGATTAAAAACAGTTTCACTGTACAGCACAGGGAACTATGTTCAATATCCTGTAATAAGCTTTAATGGAAAAGAATATGAAAATGAATATATATATATGTATATGCATGACTGGGACATTGTGCTGTACACCAGAAATGGACACATTGTAACTGACTGTACTTCAATTAAAAATAAATAAGTAAATATTTTAAAATATCCAAAAAAAACACAAAACTGCTGCATCAGCTGAGTTCTTATCCACGGTGGGCATCAGTTTAGCTCCTGCTTGACAAAGTCTGGGATCTTGGCAAGTGGAATGCGGGTAGGTGGAAAGAGTCCAAGGACCCAAGGATGCTGCATGAACATGGACTTTTTGAAGCACCGCTCTCCCACTGACTTCCTTCTCACTGGGAAAACCTAATCACCCACCCTAGTATTCAGTATGATCTGTGACCAAGGTCCAAACGTGACTTGGGCCTAAGGACAACATTCAAAAACTGTAGAAGGGGACTGACCATTTTTACCCAAAATGAACTGCAGTAATTATCCCACGCTATGCCAGGAAAAGTCAGGATAGACTGCGCATCGATTTGCAACTGCCTGACGAGGAGCTGAAGCTCCAACCTGGATCATGCAGAACTGGTTGCTATGGTGAGGCCTCATCGGAGACACTGTGTTCAGTATGTCTCTGCAGGATCAAACTCGAATGGCTTGTTGTTGGGTTGGCTGATTTAGACCTCAGCCTGGCCCATGTTGTCTGGCAAGAAAAGTATTGTTAATAAGAAAACACATAAAGAGAGATAAAGACTGAAAAGAATGGCAGTAACTTAGACCATCCAAGCACGGTGTTGCTGAGGGAGTCACAGAATAACGTGGTTCCTCAGAGCTGCCTTTAAACTGAAGAGTTTCCTGGGTGTCTATGAAATACCTTTCCCTTACTACCATGTGCATCTTAAAAAAATTTTTTTTTATTAATAAAGAAAATTTATTTTTATTTTTTTGAAGTATAGTCAGTTTACAATGTCGTGTCAATTTCCGGTGTACAGCATAATGTCTCAGTCATACATATACATACATGTGCATCCTTAATTAAAAACAAAATATTACTTGAGATAGTATTTGGTCCCATTGGGGCCCAGGGCAGGCCTCAAAATATGCCTCAATGGCACATTGATCATTTTGAATTCAAGATACTTAAAAAACAGCCAAAGCAAGAGGGACACTTTGACCCCCTTCTCTGTCTCCCTGAAATCAGGAAAGAAACCTCCTATGTGAAAGGTGTTCTCCCTGCACTGGGAGGTGGCAGGCAGTCACTATCGCCAGAGATGGGGAACCCAGGGCTGAGAAGCCTGTGTGGATAAACCTTGTTACCTCTTTACTGCCCAAGGCCAAACGTTACTTAAACTCCTTGTAATTAAGCACCCAAACCTAAGTTTCTTTGTCCTGTCAGATCTTCCCAAACGCATTGTTTCTTTCTACAAAAAGACATAAAAGCTACCTGCTTTCAATCACTCTCTGAGCATCATTTTACGATCTTCCGCACACACAAAATCGAACTGGGTTTTCTCCTGTTAATGCGTCTTGTGTCAGTTGTACTACTGGTCCAGCCACAAGAACTCAAGAGGGACAGAGAGAAACTCCCCCTCCCCGATAGGCACAATCCGTTCCCTGGAGCCAGAGAAGCCCAGGGAATTCAAACAGGGGCCTAAGCAGGAGGAGAAACGAGACATGTGGGGATCCTCAGCTATGTGTGTTTATTGATCACTCTTTATTTCTGAAAACGTTCTAATCTGATTCTGAAACACAGCGGTCCCAGGATTCTTCTCCTTCCTGGAATAATTGATAACCTCGCGGAACTGAAGGGAAATTGGAGCTCATTCGCACATTAAGAGAGAAGGGAAAATGGAGGCCCATAAAGACAAGAGATTTCCTTTTCATTCCATTTCCTGCAATGATCCTCCTTTTTCCCACCATTTAAGTGTGGGTGCTCTTTTTTTTTTTTTTGTGGGTGCTCTTGAATCATCTGCCCGCTTCTCCCTTCAGACTCATAATTTCAGCCTTCGATTATGTGCGCATCTGCTCTAAAAGTTTTATCTTACGGGCTGAATCCTTCCCCCCCTTTACAGTATCAGACTTCCAGTTACCCGTGGAGGGTACATGTAACAAACTGCATCAATACCTGAAACTCGACGTGGTTAAAACTGAAATCATTCTCCTTCTTCCCCCGGCTGCCAGGTTCTTCCTCTTGGTTATTATTAGCCATGTCATTTTCAAAGGTTCCTTGTCTTAAATGTTGTTTTTGATTTCAAAATATTTCATACAAAAAGTGTGGAGAATAAAATAACAAGTATTCATGTCCCCATTAGCCAGACTTAATATTGGGTCATACTGGCCTCAGACTGAACAACATTTTTACAGACACGGCCGCAAGTCCCCCTGCCCCATTCAATCTGCTGCCTCCTAAGAGGTGACTCTCTCCTCAAAGCAGGCCCTGAGACAAAGACTGAGGAGCATCAGAACTGATCTGAGAGGTGCAGGGACACCAGCAAGGGTGTGAGGAGGTGGCTCAGGGAACGGAAGGCACCCCGAAGGGCCCATTATTAAGCAACTACCCCAGGGGGCAGCTGCAGCTCATCCCTACAGACAAGCTCCAGCAAATGGTGTAAAACACACCTCAGAATGATGGGGGCCAATGAGGGGCGGAGTTGGAGTGTTTATACCCCCACACCCACTCGTCATTTGGGTGGCTGGGGGGTGGTAGGTGGGGGTCTCCAGCGAGCACAGAGGGCTCTGGCAGCCTTTTGACAAAGAAAGGGAGCCTTCTGACAAAGACACTGGCTGCTGGAAGTTAGGCTGGTGTGCACCAGGACGGGAAGGGAAGGCAGAGCACTGATAGCATGTGTGACACGGTGCACCCATCCTACTGGCCTGGTTTTACCTTTATGCCAATTGTTAGACATGGTTCACTTCTGCATTACAGGACACAACTGATAACATTGATGATGATGATGATGACAATGGTGACGATAAACATACACCAGCCAACACGGACAAGGAAGGTAGTTTGGGAAAATAACTTCAGTTGAAAGACCTGTTTAACTATTTATGGAATTCATATTGTGTGCTTGATTGATCTCCCTTTAACAGAAAGTAAGGAAAAGGACTCAGACACTCTCTTTTAGACATTGACAAAACTTGATTTTTCTCCCTTATCCTTCATCTCCTACTTCGAGACTGCAGGGTTATTAGGCTTAAACTCTGATTGATACAGAAGATCACACGTCTTTGCTAAGAAGGCTACATGAGATCAAGAATATCTCAGAACGTCATTTTCTTCTTAGCTGCCACCCATCAGCCTTTCTGCTGAAAGGGAGAGGAGTGTGTCTGCGTGTGCGTGTGGGGTGGGGACTACGTGGTGGAGATGGATCCCAACCCCTCAACCCCCTCACAGGGTGACGAGCCTGCAGAGATGTTCTAAATTATTTAGCAAAGCCAGGAATAGTTTGCCTTCGATGTACCTCACAACCAACCGGACTCCTGATTTAACAAGATAAGAGTACAAAACAGTATGTTTCCAATTCCCTTTTGCAGAGGCCAAAAGGATTTAAAATAATTTTAAATGATACTCTTCATAGTTCCTATTATTGGACAAACACAGACCTCCTCTTTAAGGACTAGCAGACAGAGAAAAATCCCCTGACACGTAAGAGCCAGTCATCCAGGAGGGTCATTCTGAAGAATCAGAGCAGGTGCTTGTAAAGCAGACCCCATAAAGCAGGAAAAAAAAATAAAAAAAAATCTATGGAGATTCGAGGAAACACCCACCAAATTTCGTATTTCAAATAAGGAATGATTACAGAACTTGAAAACCCCACAGAGAAGGGAACACCTAAGTGGGTTTAGATCAGAGGTGAACCATATTGGTGAAAAGTCTGGAAGCAAGCCTCCATTCTACATTTAAAAGAGAGATAATGTTTTCAGAAAGCAATTCTCGAGTGTTTTTCTACCTGATACCATTTCCACGTAAAAACATGTCTTATGAAAATAAATCAGAAAATACGCCTCGTGTCACAACATTTAAGCAGTGAGCAGGATTAGGAATAAAGAAAAGTCATGTAGAACTCAGAGTCCTACACTTTAAAAAAAAGGCTTTGTTGTTCCATTGGAGGCTCTGGATCCTCCTTCTAGAAAACAGTACTTTTGTATAAAACATGCAATTGGGATAGAATTTCAGGAATTCACAGGCTTCCTAAAGCCCCGACGGTTCTAGGGATCAGTCTGTTGACCCACTAGGGGTCCATGAACGCCAGGCTGAGAACCCCTCATTCAGAGAGAAGCAGAGGCACTTACATTGTACAGAGGGATGGTCTTCATCACTTTGTAATGCTTAGTGGGATCCATTTTATACAGGTGACGATCAGTGACAAAAATTGCTCGATCTTCCACCTTACTAAATCGATTCACCTGTAAGAAAACAAAACAGTAAACCATATTATTGCATCAAGAAGGAAATCAAACCGTCTGTCAGGAAAACATCCGGGGCAGAGGTGGCTGGCTGTGGAGCCCGGCTATTGGATGCAACAGGGAGCTAGAAAGAGTAGATGTTTCCAGATCTGTGGAATGTTACAATGTAAATTGCACGATTTTACAATTTAACAGGGGAAAAAACCAAGAAAATTGGAAAGGACTAAACAGAATTAAAGGACTAAAAACATATAACCCAGACATAATAAAGAAAGTGAAAAGGGTTCAACCCACAGAAGAGGAGAAAATTCATGCAAATCATATATCTGAAAAGGGATTTTTATCCAAAACATATGAAGAGTAGAATGTATGTTATACCTGGAGTATATAATTCAATAATAAAAAGACAATTTTTTTTAAATGGGTAAAGAATTTGAAGAGACATTTCTCCAGAGGAAGATACACAAATGGCTATAAAGAAACACTGAAAAGATGCTTGATTTCATTAGCCATCAGGAAAATGTAAAGTCAGAACCGCAGTGAGATACCACTTCACACCCACTAGGGTGACAATAATTAACAAAGACAGATAGTAACACACGTTGGCCAGGATGTGGAGCAATTGGAAGCCTCATCACTACTGGTGGGGATCTAACGTGATGCAGTGGCTTCGGAAAACAGTCTGGCAGCTCCTTAAACGGTTAAACATAGAATTACCACATGGCTCAGAAACTCCACTCCTAAGCATATACCCAAGGGAACTGGAAACACATCCACACGAAAATCTGCGCCTGAATGTTCACAGCAGCCTTAATCGTAACAGCTAAGAAGCAGAAACAACCCAAATGTGCACCAACTGACGAATGAACAAATAAAACGTGATCTATCCATACAATGGAATACAATTCGGCAATAAAAAGAACGCAGCGTTGAGACAGGCTACAACACGGATGAACCCTGAAGAGACCATGCCAAGAAAAAGCAGCCAGGCACAAAGGACCATATGTTGTATGACTCCATTTACATGAAATGGCCAGAACAAGCAAATCTATAGAAACAGAGCACAGATTAGTGGTTTCTTGGGGCTGGGGGAGATACGAGGTTTGGGGGAATGATAGCTAAGGGGGTGTGGGGTTTGTTTTTGGGTTAATGAAAATGTTCAACTGATTGTGGTGAAGGATATACAACTCTTAACTACACGAAAAAGCCACTACATTGTATACTTTAAAATGAGAAATTGTATGTTAAGTGAATTTTATCTCAATAAAGCTGTTAAAAAAAAAGTTATCTCTATTTGAAACAATTCATTCTGTCCCTTTCCTCATGCACTGGGCAGGTGTATTTCAGATTAAATTCCCTGAAGTATGTCGTTAAATCTACATGTTCTACATGACATCTACTTGCACCAAATGACGTGAGTCAGACGGAGAAAGACAAACACTGTGTGATATCACTTATATGTAGAATCTAAAATAAGACAACCAACCAGTGAATCTAACAGAAAAGAAGCAGACCCAGATATAGAGAACAAACTAATGGTTACCAGTGGGGAAAGGAAGTGGGGCGGCGCTGTGCAAGGGTGGAGGTTACGAGGCACAAACGATCAGGTATAAAATAAGCTACAAGGATATACTATACAACATGGGGGATAGAGCCAATCTTTTATAGTAACTATAAATGGAGTATAACCTTCAAAAATTGTGAATCACTACAATGTACACCTGTAACATACGTAATTAAAAAAGACCCCATGTTTGAACGTGGGTAGTGCCTTCCTATTGCCTAGAGAGTAAATAATTGTCTGATCATCACTTCTGCTCATTAAAAAGAACGCACCATGTGAGAAGGCAGTAAGGGCCCCACGTGGAACGGATTCAAGCAGAGGCTGAGTGGACATGTGATGTAGGTGTGGTAGAACAGGCAGAGTCTGAGGGTCTCCAAGGCCCCCTGCCACTCAGATTCCACCGTTCTTTTACCCGCCTTTCAAGAGTTCTCCTATCTGCCACTAGTCTTCTTATTTAACTTTATTTCTTCACGGCCCTGGCTCCCTTCTGACAGCTTTCCTTTCTCTTAAATGTTTATGATTTTCTCCTCCCTTTTCCTCTTAAAAAATTTTTTTTTTACTTAAAAAAATCTTTTTTGGTGGGGGGAGGGAGGTAATTGTGTGTGTGTGTGTGTATATTAGTTTTTTCTTTAATGGAGGCACTGGGGATTGTACCCAGGACCCCATGCATGCTAAGCACACGCATTACCACTGAGCTCTACCCTCCCCAACCTTTTCCTCTTTATCCGTGTCTATTTCAAGACAACACTCAAATTGTCAGTCTGCTATAAAACCTCTTCAATTCCTCCAGTGAAAAAAAGAACAATCACTCTTTTCTCTGAATTTCTACAACATGGTTGTAGAATCAATACATAGGATTTACAAAGAATTGAGCATGAAACAAAAAATTAACACTGAAACCAAAAAGCACAGGTTTTTTCTTTGAAAGCAGGATATGTGAGGACAGGAGGAACTACTGGCTGAAGTGTTTCTGCTAATGGAAAACACTGGGCGTGTCATCACTCTTTGCTTGGAAAGAATGACAGGAAGGAAGGCTGGCTGAT